GCGGAGTCGAGGACGAGCTGTATACACGTACCTTCATCAACGCTGGAACGCGCTACGTATGGGTCGCAAATGTGGAAACTCGCGACAGAGCCTACGAGGTGTTCCGCCTCTGGTTGGCGCATGCGCAGCGGCAATCTGGGAAGCAGCTAAAAATTTGGCAATCTGACGGTGCAGCGGAATTTAGGAGCAATCAGATGCAGACTTACCTGGCGCAAAAGGGGATCGAGCATCACATCTCTCTCCCCTACGCACACCAGCAGCAGGGCGTAGCTGAGCGGACGAACCGCACACTGATGACGAAGGTGCGGGCGCTGATGAAGCAGTCAAAGCTGCTGCCAATTTACTGGACCTACGCGATGCACCACGCCGTGCGGGTGCACAACCTGCTTTCAACCACCGCAATCACCGGGAACCTCTCCCCGCATGTCAAATGGACCGGGACCAAGGGGGATACCTCCATGCTCCGCGTGTGGGGGTGCATGGTGCAGTACCGCCCGCCGACTTCAACCTTCGGCAAATTCGCCAGTCGTGCGCGCTGGGGAATCCACCTCGGCATCAGCCACGAGTACAAAGCAGCTGGGGAATCCACCTCGGCATCAGCCACGAGTACAAAGCGTGGATCGTGCTGGACCTCCTCAGTCAGAAAACCGCCCACGCTCGCGATGTAATCTTCTACGAATCGCGTTTACGCGAACGACGGGCACAGCTACGCAACGCCCGAAGACGAAGCAGCAGCGACGATGACGACGATTCCTCAACAGGAGGAATGGGCGGAACAGGCGGAGGTGGCAGAAGCGCAGGATCACCAGCGCCACCTGAACCAGAGAGCGATGATGACGATGTGCAGGAAGTCATCCCGCAACGTCGCCACGACAGCACCGTCTCAGGACTGCAGCTACTCGGGTTCACACTGCAACCTCGAAAGCGCCACGTGTCATCGAGCCTCGAAACCCGCGCGAAGCTCTCTCTGGACCACACAGCAAGGAGTGGCGCGAGGCACTGGACACAGAGATTAAAGCGCTCGAGTCCTGAGACACCTGGGTGTTGGTCGACCGTGCGGCAATCAAAGGTGCAAGAATCCTCTCGGGCAAGTGGGTCTTCCGCGTGAAGACCGCAGCGGACGGAACGATCGAGCGCTTCAAGGCGCGCTGGGTGGTACGCGGCTACGACCAGAGGCACGGGATTGACTTCGACCAGACGTTTGCTCCAGTCAGCCGTCATACCTCCGTTCGAATCCTGCTCGCCATCGCAGCTGCAAGGCACCTACCTCTCCGCCAGATCGACGTCAAGAACGCGTTCTTATACGCGCTAGTAGACGCCGTGATTTACGTGGAGCAGCCGCATACATACGGTGAAGGGGACTCGCGCGTGTGCCAACTGCGCAAGTCACTCTACGGGATCAAGCAGGCGCCGAGGCTGTGGCAGCAGTATCTACACAACATCCTGCTTGAAATCGGATTCAAGCAGATGCCGCACGATCCAGGGATGTACCGCCGCGACTTCCGGGGCGAATACATTCTTCTCACGGTTTACGTCGACGACCTGCTCTACACAGGCTCAAACAATGAGCTACTCGAGCAGTTCGAGAAAGCCTTGGCGGGGCGCGTCGACATCACATGCAACTATGAGGTGAAGCAGTTCTTAGGCCTCAACATCTCCTACGCGCCTGAGGCCATTCACCTCTCAGCGGCTAAGTACGCAGAGGAGCTAGGGAAGCGGTTCAACATTTCACCTGCACCCCTCTCAACTCCCTACCGAACCCCTGGACCGAACCACAAACCTGACAACAAAGCCCTATCCCCTGCTGGAATTCAGACTTACCAGCAGCAGCTGGGATGCCTGCTCTTCGCCTCTGTCACCTGCAGGCCAGATCTCTCCTACATCGCAAGCCAGTTGGCCCAGTACTCACGCAAACCAACGGCTGAGAATCTTCTGGACCTGCAGCGCGCACTGCAATTCTTCGTCTCGACGCCCAAGATTGGGTTGTGCTACTCAACTGCACCAACCCCATCTTTCAATCTCATCGGCTACGTCGATGCTGATCATGCAGCAGATCCCGACAATCGACGGTCCAGGACTGGCTTCCTGTTCCGACTCGAACCAACGGGACCAATCTCCTGGAACTCACAGAAGCAGGAGCTGGTTGCCCTGTCATCAGCCGAAGCGGAATTCATCGCAGCAACCGCAGCAGTTCGCGAAGGACTCTACTTACAGGAACTCCTGCTGGAGGCGAAAATCCCAGCTTCGCCCACCTTTCGTCTTCACTGTGACAACCAGAGCGCAATTCGGATTGCGAACAAACCTGGCTTCGTCAACCGCACCAAGCACATTGCGCTGCGGTATTTCTTCGTGAAGGACGAGGTGGAGAAAGGGCAAGGTCAACTTGACTTATTGCCCAACCGGTGACATGGCGGCAGATTTCCTCACAAAGCCACTGCCACGGCAGCAGTACCAGCACTGCTCCGAACTCAGCGGCGTGGTCAAACAGGTCAAGTCGAGCTACGGCCAGGAGTGAAGGGGGGTGTTACGAATAGTAATATTCGTTTATTATTGTGCACTCCTCACCGCAGCAAAGGGAGCATGCAGTATCGAGAGTGAACACGAAGAGTCAAAGTTGACTCGAAGCGTCAGACGGTTAAGGCGCATCTGAATCGTCGGAGTAAACGGCATCGGGCAGCCACAGGCAGGATGGTTTCGGCGGGAACAGTTTCGCAACTGTACGCGCCGCACGGTTGGGAATGAATTTGAATAAGGGAATGTACCCCTTAGAGTACATGGCTAGCTAGGTCTCTTCGTCTTCCCTGTACTCATATTTATATTTGCTGTATTTGCACATTTTATTCATCTCAAGCATTTTACATTCACTCTGCTATTGAGGTCAAGGGCCCACCAACTTTACTTCTCTGTGAGCAAACCTTCCCGAGTAGATCCTGGCAACGATCAACTTCTGATCGCACCACTCCCTTCCCCCCACTAACCCTCCCACCCTCCACTTACCACCCTCCCTACCTCCTCGTTTCTCTCCCACTCTCTCTCCTCCCTCCCTGCATCTCTTCTCCATCCATGCCCTTTTTATACTTTATCTTGCTCTCTTATCTCACACCCTCCCAGTCCCCGCTGTCCTAATGCAGGGTACAGCAAGAAGGGTTGGAATGTGGAAAGGGGAGGGTAGGAGATGGGGAAGGAAGCCGTAATGAGGAGGGGCTGACGTTTGTTGAGATAGGGTTTAAATGAATGAAGAATAACTTGAGGTTTTGCAGACGACGTTTGTGTTGTTGAAAGTCAGGAGCCAAAAAAAAAACGAAGACGACACATTAAGAATTTTCAGAATAAAGTAAGGATGCATTTATCTTGAATGAATGGATGTGCTGCGGTCAGTATGCTTTGATGACCATTTAGGCATGCACTTTTTCTTTTTGTTGTAACCCATAAGCACAACCAAATGTTATAATACATGCATGTCTTGTACAGAAGACTGCATCGTGCCGGGACAGCACCCCCTCATTTCCCATTGGTTCGTTATTGCCTTCCCCAGATTTTCCACCGCACGAACCACCCAGACGTAAGGCTCCGTACGTACACACGATGCGCACTGAATCACCTTCTTTAGGGCGAGGAACATTTCGATTTTGAATGTCGAGTTTCGTACGCAGCACCTGAGTTCCGCACTGTCGTACGGTTTGGGCCCGACCGGACGGTGGTTCGGACCCAGCCTCGTCCGGTTTGAAAAGTTGGTACATTTGACTGGAGTTTGAATTTGGAATTTTGTACTGCACTGTACAGTTTGGAACCGTCGCACGGGATACATTCACTACATCGCATACATTCAAACACCTGCTGCAACACTCCCATGCGACAGCTAGGCAAGGAGCCACTTGAGTTGTGTTCAGCAAAGTACATTTGCAAATGGCCCACTGCAACAGTCAGTTCGCACGATGACTCTTCGACAATTCCTCGCTTTCATTGCAAGCCGCATCACGCTTCGTTCAATTGCACATCTGGCCAAATTGGAGGGAACTGCGACGCAAGTCGCCTGACACTGTGCAACTTCGCACATGTACAGTCGCGCTGGATCTGTACATCTGGGTACGGACCGGGGCAGTGCCGACCGTTCGAACCGTCAGTACGAGATTAAGGCGCCAAAATGTTCCACGAGGGTTCCGCACGTTGACGATGTCGCCAAAACCCTAACGAACACTATGACGACACTGCGCGAAAATGGTCACCACCTTGAGTTCCGAACGATGCTGTGGTACGCACCATGCAAAATAGAAATGTTCCACGCCCTTAAACAATACCGGCGCAACCGGTAAGAGCAGCTATCGACTGTCATGAGCGACGGCTTTACGCACACACGACAAAACACGCAGCTTCGTGACGAGGAATATAACCTGAATTTCCAAAAATTAATTCACGTTGGCTAACACGGAAACAGGGAACTGTACTTGAAATTGTAAGCCCACCATTTCCTCTATGCCCATTAAAGCGACGGGCAACTTTTGGCAGTGTTGGGTTCAGAAGTTTTTTTTTTGAACCAGGCTTGCCAGCGCGAAAGTGTTGGCTGGCGAAAACCAGGATTTCGTGCAGACACTTTTCATCTGCAGTAACAGTTCGCCAGGGTTCTGGGTTTTGGGTGGCAAATGTGCACCGTCGCTTTAAAACCTTGGCTGCCACAAGTCTCAACGTAAGATGCAGAAAGAGCTTGTAACCGAAATCACGTGTGCAAGCAACCGTTCAGAGCTCCGTCAGCGGGACGAGGCCTGGTTTCGGACGTCTATCCGAACCAGAAACCCTGTACTGTACGTCTGGTCCGGAACCCATCTCCGTGACACAGTCCGCTCCGCACAGCAGCCAGCGAGCATCCTTCAAATCCAACGTTCCACCACGTGCTTGTCTTTCCACCCCACTCTCCTCTCCTGTCTGCTACAGTGGTGTCACTGGTGGTGGTGTCACTGGTGGTTGTGTCGCTGGTGGTTGTGTCACTGGTGCTGGTTTCCATCATGCGGCGTTCTGGAACTCACTTCCTCATCCTCCTGCTCTGTAAGCTCAAGTCTGCAGGCAATCTCGGGCGCCAAGTTTGGGCTTGGAAACTAGTTGATCAGTTCGAATTAGGCTGGCTTTAAGTTGCGCACTATTTTAGCTCCCTGCAGTTCCGTTCAACTGTTCTAATGTTTAATTAACGTGTCGCATTGTGTGCCCGTCAGGTGCGGCGCTGTTCAACGCCGCGTCTGCATCGCTCGTCGGATCATCCCTTTCACGCGATGATGGCAGCAGCGCTCCTCTCGCTTCAACCGCTCAGGCAGCCACGCCCCAGCAACTTCAAAAGAAAAGTTTCGGTAAGATTTTCGTGCCATGCAGAGTTCCTGACGAAAAAAAGTCAACCCTAGATCTGTCAGGTTCCCCATTTCGTCCCACCATTGCATTGCCGTATGGCGCTTTCGCCGATTCTGAATTCTTCTTCTCGGCTGATCTTCCAATGGCTATCTGACACCTATTTCGCCTTTCTTATTTTCAGCGAAGTATGTGGCCAAGCTGCGTCCAACTAAGTACGATAACAGATTAATCGTGGGTGACAAAGGCGCATCGGGGATATTTGTCGCGAAGGGTATAAGGTACGTCTTCACTCAGCTTTACTGCCAGTACATCATTTACTAGCAGATTAGCAACCACTCAGGGCTAATATGAGTTAGGTGCTCTTCAACTGTTTCTCTTCCTGACATGGTGTCTTAACCTCATATCCTGTTTCACAGGTCTAGTTCAACGATTGCCTACGCCCAGTTACGCGTACTATTTCGGAACCTCAAGTCCAAAGGAGCGTCGCCTTCACAGAGTTTCGGAGACACCTGCAATGTTATTTCCCTCCAAACCGACGAGAATAATTATCGTAATCTCACCACCGCGAAGGCTGGTCGCCGCGGTCGCTACACGTTCGGATACATTCTGCGCGTTGGGCCAGCGTCGGAGGCACAAGTCCGTGCTTATATTGCGGATAATATAGTGGCTCAGGGGACTTATGTCAGAGTGGGCCATCCAGAAAACCTGGTGGCACTCTGCGGAAAGTTCAAGAAAGCGTCGACATGGTGACTACCTTTTTTTTTAGGGGGAGAGCGGGGGATTTGTTGGGAGGCGGGGAGGGGTTGGGAGAAGCCTTTTGGCATTCAGGGTTTGGAGTTTAGGGGGAGACGGGGAGGTTTGCCCCAGAAGGGCAAGGGGGCTAGTACAAGCTTGGTGTTGCAGTGTTAAGTTGAGTGGCATGTTTAGTGTGCATTGCATGTTGCATACCGTAACTTGAAATCAAGCTTGTATTTGACATATTGTCAGCTCCACACCTACACGCAATAGAAATTAGCTTCAGTACCGTAGGTGAAAATAAAAACATCTGCTACCCCAACCTCACTCAATTCAGTGGATCATTCGCTCTCGTCCAGGCCCTCAGATTCACTTTTAGGGACGTTGATGCATCAGGGTCCCTGTGAAAAAAAGCCTGAATTTTCAGGGTTGTTTTTTTTTTTTTTTTTTTTTTTTGGGAAGTGCTACGATCAGAGAATGAAAGCATACCAGGATCTACTCGGGAAGGTTCGCTCGTGGGTAGATACGGTAGTTGGTGGGCCCTTGACCTCAATAGCAGAGTGAATGTAAAATGCTTGAGATGATTAAAACATGCAAGTACAACGATAGAAATAAGAGTACAGAGGAATACGAAGCGACCTAATTAGCCATGTACACTAAGGGGTACATTCCCTTATTCAAATACATTCCCAACCGTGCGGCGCGTACAGTTATGAAACTGTTCCCGCCGAAACCATCCTGCCTGCAGCTGCCCGATGCCGTCTGCTCCGACTGTCTGGATGCGCCCCAACCGTCTGATGCTTCGAGTCAACCTTCAACCGTCTGACGATTCGCGTCCTTGCTTCGATACTGCGTTCTTCTCTTTGCTGCGGTGAGGAGTGCTCAGTAACAATTAAATTGTACTATTCGTAACACCCCACTTCACTCCTGGCCGCAGCTCGATTTGACCTGCTTGACCACGCCGCTGAGTTCGGAGCAGTGTTGATACTGCTGGCGTGGCAGTCGCTTCGTGAGGAAGTCTGCTGCCATGTCACCGGTCGGACAATAGGTCAAGTTGACCTTGCCCTTGTCCACCTCGTCCTTCACGAAGAAGTATCGCAGCGCAATGTGCTTGGTGCGATTGACGAAACCAGGTTTGTTCGCGATGCGAATCGCGCTCTGGTTGTCGCAGTGAAGTCGAAAGGTTGGCGAAGCTGGAATTTTCGCCTCCTGCAGGAGTTCCTGTAGGTAGAGGCCTTCGCGAACTGCTGCGGTTGCTGCGATGAATTCTGCTTCGGCTGACGATAGGGCTACAAGCTCCTGCTTCTGTGAGTTCCAAGAGATTGGCCCAGTTGGTTTGAGTCGGAACAGGAAGCCGGTCCTGGACCGTCGATTGTCGGGATCTGCTGCATGATCGGCATCCACATAGCCGACGAGATTGAAGGATGGGGTTGGTGCAGTTGAGTAGCACAGCCCAATCTTGGGCGTTGAAACGAAGAATTGCAAAGCGTGCTGCAGGTCCAGGTGATTCTCAGCCGTTGGTTTCCGTGAGTACTGGGCAAGCTGACTTGCGATGTAGGAGAGATCTGGCCTGCAGGTGACAGAGGCGAAGAGGAGGCATCCCAGCTGTTGCTGGTAAGTCTGAACTCCAGCGGGGGATAGGGCTTTGTTGTCGGGTTTGTGGTTCGGTCCAGGGGTTCGGTAGGGAGTTGAGAGAGGTGCAGGGGGAATGTTGAACCGCTTCCCTAACTCCTCTGCGTACTTAGCCGCTGAGAGGTGAATGGCTTCAGGCGCGTAGGAGATGTTGAGGCCTAGGAACTGTTAAGAGAACTAGGCAAGAAGGAATGAACTAGCAGAAGTTTTGGGTACAAATATGAAACCCTAATTGAGGTTGTACCCCATATTGGCTACCCCACTACAGCCTACAAGCATAATACAGTTTAACACACCCCCATAGGCAAAGTGGGGGAGAACAAAGGGTCACAAGACCAGTCCAGCAAAGCAAAGCAAAGCCCAGGGTGGATCACAACGTCACCACACTCCGAGCACAAGTAAAGGCCACAAGGCCAGTTCACATGCAGTGCTAGATATAGTACAAGACAAGCAACACAGTGATCAAAACCTAGCAAGCAAGCAACAAGATATATATAAAGTACAGTACAAAGAATGTCAAGCAGTGAGCAAGTGAGGAAACGTGGACACAAGGCCTAAAGAAGTACAGTGCCGCTGATGATCACTAGGCGGGAGCGCCTTGGTGAAGATATCAGCAGTGTTGGCCTTCGAGTCCACGTACACAAGCCGAAGCTGACCGCGCTGCTGAAGCTCTCGAGCAAGAAAGTAGCGAAGAGCAATGTGCTTCGTCCTGTGCTCCAGTCTGTGCTCCTGACACAAGGCAAGAGCCGCCTTGTTGTCACCGTACAGAACTGGAGGAGAACTAGGCCGCTCTCCCAAGTCAGTCAGCAGGTAGGTGAGCCAGCGTAACTCCTGTGCAGCCATGGCTGTGGCGTAGATCTCAGCCTCACAACTAGAGCCGAGAACAGAGGAAGAGCGGGTGGACCGCCACGAGACAGAACCAGAGCCAAGGCTGAAGGTGTAACCCTGTGACGACCGCTGCGTAGCCAGGTCGTCCACCCAAGAAGCGTCCGAGTGACCAGTGAGGACAACTCTGTCGTGTCCTCCAAGCACCAGCCCCATGCCTGATGTACTGCACAAGTAACGTAGCACCCTCTTAGCAGCCTCCCAGTGCTCTCGCCTGTGTCTTCCAGGTGCAACGTAACGAGCAAGGATGCTAAGAGGGTATGCGAGGTCAGGTCGCGTGCACGTCATCAGGTACATGAGGCAGCCTACAAGCTCTGGGTACGGGCCACTCGGCTCTACGGACTCGTCCGAAGGTGGAGCTGAGAGCGAGTGGCTGGTAGCCAGAGGTGTGGCCTGTGGTGAGGAGAACTGGAAGCCGAAGCGCTGAAGGACCTGCTGCACCATGTGTGACTGAGTCAGGGTGATGGTGCGGCGAGCTCTGTCCCGGGTGATCTGCAAGCCAAGGTAGCTACGCAGTTCACCCAGGTCAGTGCAGGTGTGTCTCTTCTGCAGCTCCGACTTCACACGAGCGAGTGCCTCAGTGTCAGCAGTAGCAAAGACCAAGTCGTCGACGTACACAAGAATGTAGAACGGCGGCAGCGACGTGTCTGTGCGCAGAAACAGCGACGGGTCAGCAGTAGACGGCGCGAACCCAAGTGCCGCAAGTGTAGTCCTCAGTGTGTCGTGCCACTCACGTGGCGCCTGGCGGAGACCGTAGACTGGCCGGCGGAGGCTCCACTGGGTACCAGGAGGAAACGACCCAGTAAAGCCAGGTGGGCGGCGCAGCCAGATCTCCTCGTGCAGGCTGCCCTGCAGGAACGCTGTGCTGAAGTCAAGAGAGTGAAGCTCGTAGTCACGCTGAGCAGCAACGTGCAGCAGAACCCGAAGAGTGGTCATCTTCGGGGTGGGGGAGAAGGTCTGGAAGAAGTCGACCCCCTGACGCTGACTGAAGCCTCTAGCAACGTAACGAGCCTTGAAGACAGGCGGAGAACCTGGCGGCCGCTTCACCCTGAAAATCCACATGCCATCGACGATGTTCGCCCCAGGAGGGGGAACCTCGTCGACGTAGGTGCCTGTGGACTTCCAGGATGCCATCTCTGCGTCCATGGCTGTCTGCCACTGAGAGGAGTAGGGACCCGAGATCGCCTCTGCGTAAGTGCGCGGAGTGGGGATGTCTAGTGCATCCGGGTCTCCCTCAGGGGCAAGCAACCAGGCCACGAGATGAGGTACAGCAGCCGCAAGAGAGTCAAAGTCCTCCTGCCTGTCCTCAAGGACGTCCGTGTCAAGAGCACACTCACCCCCGACGGACGGAGGACAGACAGACGCAGACGCAGACTCAGCAACAAGACTAGCAGCGTAGTCTAGACGACAGGCAGCAGCAAAGTCAACCAACTCAGCGACTAGAGCAGACGCAGCCGAGGACTCAAAGGTAGGGTCAGTGACAACAGTAGCTAGGAGACGCGTGACAGTAGGGTGCTCAGCACGATACCGGTCAGACTCAGGGTCCGGAACGGCAGGCAAAGAGGACGCAGGAGGAGACGGTAGAGGGACACGCCGAGGAGCAGTAGAGGGACGCAGAGTCATGTAGTGAGTGCCTGGGACAGGAGGAGGACGCTCACGACGGACACGACTACCAGCGCGAGCAGGACGAACAGGCGACGCAGGACGAGACTCAGGCCCACGACGCTCTGTAAGACCTCCTGTGGGACCAGTGTAAGGAGAGGGAGCAGGGAGAGGCGAGGCAGGCGGTAGCTGTGACTGCGGCTGGACAGGCGGAGGACACTCTACGGAGGGAGGAGGACAAGGAGGAGGAGCCTGCCCAAGAACCTGCTGAAGGAGCGGTACGAAGTACGGTCGCGGCCGCGCAGCGTCTCCAGAAGCAGAAGAGACTCCAGCGGCCGGGTCCTCAGGACCAGCAGGAGCTCCAACGGCCGGGTCCCCAGCACCAGCAGCAGCGCCACCGCTCAGGTCCTCAGCTCCAGCAGCAGCTCCACCAGGCGGGTCCGCAGCACCAGCAGCAGCGCCACCCCCAGAGTCGGCAGCTCCAACTCCGCTAGCACCGCCAGCGCCAGGGTCCCCAGCTCCAGCAGCTCCAGTCGCAGTGCTCCCAGAACAACCAGTCCCGGCAGCTCTAGTACCCCCAGTACGAGCACCCCCAGGACGAGCAGCCCCAGCACCCCCAACTCCAGCCGAGTCACTAGGACGGCGAAAGCGCCGGACGTACCAGTCACGAAGCTGCTGCGGTGTGAGAGACTGCTCAGCACCCCGAACCGGAGCACCCCCAGACACAGTAACCCGAGGCTCCGTAGGCTCAGTAGCAGCACCCCCAGGCGCAGTACCCGCAGCCTCAGTACCCGCAGGCTCAGCACCCCCAGACTCAGCACCCCCAGACTCCGCACACGCAGGCTCAGCACCCCCAGTCGCAGCACCCCCAGGCTCAGCACCCCCAGGCGGCAAAC